TTTTGGGTAGATTTGCAAGCTCTAAATTCTTTAAACTAAAAGGCAGGTACATTTGAAAATGATCAATGCCTCTGGAATATAAAATACATGACACATTAATTTAGCCTTTTACAATATGCATATCTTTGTTTTCAGTGAGAGATTGATGAGTTGTGTGTGTGTGTGTACCTGTGTGTGTGTACCTGTGTGTGTGTACCTGTGTGTGTGTGTGTGTGTGTGTGTGTACCTGTGTGTGAGTGGGGAAGCAGGGGCCTTTATTTTTATCTAACATTTGCAAAGTCTATGAATCTAGGAAGAACATGGCGAGGCTCCGGGCAGGCCTCAGCTTCCACATCAGCACAGGAGGATTCTCAACACGGCGTGGCCACGCTCCGTCCCATTTCTGCTCTAATTCTCTCCTTGGTTTTGGGCAAATCCCTTCCCTGGGCCTTCCCTTGCCTGTGTGTAAAGTAAGGGACACGACATACAAAAGGGCGTTTCCCCAGAGGCTGGGAAGGTTCATGCCCCTCGAGTGGCTGGATTTCTGTCTGAACTGCAGCGGTGGTCTCACTCGGAGGGCCCTGAGCTTAGCAGAAGTGTTCAGTTCAGAGGACCGGACCCACCTTTGAGCTCTAATGTCCTGCTTTGCCAGCGATCCCCGCCTTGCATCATGCAACAACGGGCCGAGTGTTCTTGAAGACTGAAGGCAACATTTCGTTTCACGGTTCAATATCGTTAGACAAAGATCAATGCGTGTAGCCTGGCAGGTTCCCCTAACGGTTTCGGCGGTAGGTTCAGTGAGACACCTGCCAGCAAGGACGTTTGTCGCCTAATGGGAAAGGTCGGGGTGGCCCTCCCCGTCCTGGCTCGGAGCAGAGGCCAAGGAAAGACGCTGAGCCCAGACAGAGCGGTGCCAGGGAAAGGCAGGAGGCTGCGGCCGCGGCGCAGAGAAATACCGAATGAATAATGACCTGGCAGCGTGGTTTGCCAATAAGTGTGGAGCCTGAATGCAGATCAGCACAGGTTCCTGGGGCCAGAACCGAAGAGAAACGAGGGCAAGATGAAAAGAAATGGAGCTTCAAGCAAATCACCATCTTTATAAAAACCTCGCTCCCCTCCCCTTGCCTCTCCCTCCTCTCACCACTCCTCGCCAACTCAGGGGAGGGTAAACATTTTGGGGAGCACTTGCCAGGCTGGGAGCTGCGGGGGCTCCCCTCAGCAAGCTCAGGATCTGTGCTCAGCTCTGGGTGCCCCTAGAACTCCCTGGGGGGCTTCAGGACCATGCCCAGGGGCCACCTCGCCTCTCCCTGTCGAGTCTCCAGGGGTTGAGGGCACTGGCTCGGGTGTTTTCAAAAGCTTCCACGCTGATTCTAGGGTGAAGCCAAGGCTGAGCGCCTCTGCTCAGATGAATGAAACGACAGCAGTGTTCAACGGCCTGGTCCGTGATGGGAATATGGCTGCGAGTTTGCCTTCTCACACGCCGGCGTGTCTGTACATTCCTGCCGACGAGCGGCTGCTCATCTTAGGAACGGCTCGCACTGTCTCTCCAGGTTGTCAAAACTGAGTTGGGGATTAAACCCGATCATGTGTCTGTGTGTCGACAGGGCCAGTCTCCTGAGCCAACTGCCATCAGTCCCAGGGCATTCTGGCCTCGCTAAGGAGGTCACTGTTCCCAGGGGCCTCTGATTCCGGTCTCAGTTAAGATGTCATCCTTTCAAGATTCCCGTTTGCACAACGGTAGACACAGAGAAGGAAGGAGAGCGAAGCTGCCTGCATTTTTGGTTTTGGGTTTGAGTCCGTTCCCTTCTTGGATGCCAACCTAGTGGCGAAGGCCCTAGACTCAGCCCACCCTCGAGGGCACCTCCCACACTTTTCACAGAGAAGACGCGGTCTCCCACCCGGACCTCAGAACCAGCCAGCCAGCCAGCCCACCACCCGCATTCCCAACGCCCCAAGCCTGGGTCTCGACCACACATGGTCAACACAGTCTCAGCCTTACTCACCCAAAGGTGACCAGCAATAGGAGCTGAGCCACCACGTTTCTATTCACTCTTGAAATGTGCTGAGAACATAGGTTGAATTTTCTCTAGCTCAATCCTCCCATTTGAATAATGGGAACAACACTGTCCTTCACCTCACGGGGTGACAACTAACTTATTGACAGTGGAGGCACTTGGATGAAAGGTATAGTTTATAAATACTAAGTATTATTATTTAGCAATCACTGAGTTGGTAAATGTATCCATTCATATAGATTTTTGGAAGAGAGCTTTAAGGAACGGACAGCAGCAGACATGTAGCTAGATATATTTTCGAAAATATTTTTGTGTCTACTAACTTAGAAAATGTCCCAAATATTAGATATTGTTTCTGAAAGCACCTAACATTTGCAAAGTCTATGAATCTAGGAATAATTCTTCAAATTATTATTATTATTATTTCTAGAGCTACAGAAAAATTCTTCATGAAAAGTGAGGGTATGGGGACTTTAATTCAGGGGACTTGATCTCCCTCCCCTTGGCCAGGAATGTGGCTGCAGCCATGGGGTCAGCTGGGGAGACCTGTTGACTTTCGGGTCCCCTCTGACATCTTGCAGTGTCTCTTCTGATTGACACTGTGAATGGGCATTGCCGCTTGGGCAGGGAGCTAGAGAGAAGGTTGAGTTGGTTCAAAGCATGCCTCCTCCAGCTCCTGAGCAGAGCAATGGAAACCTGGTGACCCCCCCTTCTAACCTGAGGGGTTGGTCCCTTACAAGCTGTCACCACAGAAAGAGAAGACCTTTGGCTAACAGAGAGCCCGACTGATACAGGCGACTGTATTACTGTGGGAAGGCAGGGTGCAGGAGCCTAGCAAGCTCATTGGGGCCCCCTGCTGGTCTCGTAAGACAGGTTCCCACCTGGTTCAGGGAAGGAACTCCCCACTTGTCCTCCTGGGTGCGCTAGTGGAAAGAAGCAATGCTTACAGCTGATGGGAACCCCATTCCCTTGAATTTCGTCTGCCTCCTGCTGACAAAACCATGCGCAGCATGGAAAGGGAAGGCCCTTCTGATGCTGATGTATGAAAGCCATCGCTCACTAGACGGAACAAAATTTCTGCTGTTGCGTTATGGGGACCACAAAAATGGATTTTGATGAAATTACCAAGTCACTGGGACCACTTTTGTTTGTGTGCTCCCACCAAGGGGAATCAGAGTTGCTGAAACAGAAAAAAAAGTTTCCCAAAGGAAAAACCAGTGTCCTCTTTGTTGACCTGAGAAAGTTTACCACAACTCCATTCAAAACCTTCAGGCACTTGACTTTTTTTTTTGTTTTTTTAATATCCTTTACCTTTTTAATAAAAAGTAAAAAACAAACAAAAAAATACATCGATGTTCCTGAATAGAACCCCTCTATGTAAAGGTCTCACTAGACAAATAAACATAGAACCAGACAAAAGAAATGGAGCTGCAAATAGCAATAGAATATATTATGAAGCGCTTATATATGTATGTATATGTCATATATGAGTGTGCGGGTATATGTGTGTGCACCTATGTATGTACACAGATGTAAATATTTGCCTACATACGTCACACACACATATGTATACTGACCTCTTTAGATTGAAGTCCAAGGCACTTTTTACAATGAACAGGTTAAAGCCATTAACTTAGAACATAACTGTTTCTGGGTACATATCGATTTATGGCGCCAATATCACAGTTCGCATCTCTCCTCGCTCACCTCGGAGTGTCTCCGGTTGGTGTAAAGGGTACAAGAATTGGCTTAAGAAGAGATTAGGAATGTTTCTAGATGCTGAGACTAACTCCTCTGGCTAGTTTCCTCTAGGAGGGGGTTCTCGCTGCTGGGATGCTGGTCCCCAGGGAAGGAGCACTATGTCTGCGCTGTCCTGGGCAGACCTTCCCGGACCCGCCCTGCGGGGCCAGCGATATTCTGACGGCCTGGCCAGCACTGGCTAAAACGAGAACCCTGAAAAGGCCTGTGAGGGGGCTCAAGGCTGTGCAGTGAGCATTTACAAAACCAAACTGGAGACAGACCCTCTCTTTGTGTCCACCACCCAAGCTCTATGGCCTCAAGTGGAATTTTAAGGTGCATTTGTTTTTATCCTTATGACCACATGGGACCTTAACGTCATCAACTCATTCCGCAGAAGGAAGAAACGGTTTGATTTTCTGACTATTAGTGATGCTGGTTACCATTGCTGTGGGAAAGGCCGGTGCTTGCTTCTCAATATTTAAAGTGTGTATGGATCACCTGGGGACCCTGTGAAAAGGCTGAATTCGATGCAGTGGGCTGGCGTGGGGCCTGAGACTCTGCATTTCTAACAAGTTCCCGGATGAGGCTCCTGCTGCTGGTCTGTGGCTCACACTTTGAGTAGCAATGGTTAGCATACAGCCATATACCTGAATTCTTGTTGGGGCAGGGGCTTGGGGGGGGCCATATGCCTGAATTCTTGTTGGGGCAGGGGCTTGGGGGGGTCTGCTTTCCCCAAATCAGGAATGTGTGTTGGTTTCCTTGATCTAGATGGAATCATAACTCTGAGGGGGGAAAGATCAGAATATATTCACTTACTATGCATGCAAAAGCCTTGGTCTGAGGAGCGCTAGAAGGGAAAGCAAAAAAAAAAAAGACATTTCAGTTCTATTTAGTAGCAGAAAAATATAAAGAGACAAGTCAATTACCCCCAGTACATTCATCAGTCAATTATAAAACAGAATAAGCGAATCCCCATTGCCCAGGGAGTGAGTAACCGGCTGAAAACAGGTGCCCTGGCGTCCTGACGGCTTTGATGGAGCTCAGCCTAACGTGTAACTGAGAAGCAGCGCAGATGCGGAGTGAATGTCGTCCAATCAGGACAAAATGTGTGTTAAGTTAGGTCTCAGCTGCACAGGCAGGTGGAAGCTGGGCATTTAGAGATTTGTCCTTCAGATGACACGGATCACTAACCTCAGCGAGCCCCCAGCCTTAACTACCTTTAAGCTCAAATAAATGGGGCTCTGAGAGGACCCCAGCCCTTTTTCCCCAGGAGGAAGCCTGCTGCTTGGCACTATCAGCATGCCTGTGTGGGTTTGCAGAATTTGGGCAAGGAAGGGACAAGCTCGCCCAGTGTTGCTTCTGGGGAACCTTTGTTCTGTGACCAACACACCTTGTTTTCATCGAGTGCCCCCGTCATTCAAAGGAGGGAAGTGAGAAATTCTCTGTGTGTCTCAACTGCCGTGTCGGAGAAGGAGGGCAATGGCCTTCGTAGCGGCTTACGTAGAGACTTTCCCCCAATGTTTCCCAGAAAGGAAAACATCTGGATTGAACTCTCTTTCCTCCCAGCTGGAGTCAACTAGTAGGAAAGGAAGCCTGCCTCTTTGCTGATCTGGCTGCACAGGTCCCCCCCTCTCCCCTCTGTCCCTCAGGAGCTGCGCTCCACATTGTGGGTAAACAGCGGGGACCTCACTCCCTCCGAAGGTGCTCCCAACTCAGGAAAGCCCATCGGCACACGGGGCTCAAAGCGAGCCCCAAGGAGGTGGGACTCCGAGCCAGCGTTTGCTCTGACACAGAGAAACCCAAAATGCCTAGAATTTTGAGTCTTTTGTGTCACAGGAGAGCACGGCTCTTCCCGACGCCCGATTCTGACTCAGCCGAAGGAAACACTGGCTGAGTTTGAGGCCTGTCCTTCACGTCACGGGGCCTTGGAATTGACGTAGAAAGAGCCTGCTCTCGTATTCAACTGGCTCTGCACAGCTACTAAAGGAGTAATGGCTTTAAAATAAATCTCTTCTGGAATGGCTTGATAGAATTTAGGGTAGAATTATCCTCCTAAGCCCGCAATAATGTTCTCTTGTTTCTAACAGTCGGGTCTCGGAGAATTAGACTATGGCAGTTGTGCAGGCTGAGGGCCTTGTTCTGGGGTTCGGGCAATCACTCGCAGGGATGTGTACTCAGAAACAGTCATTGGGAGAGCAGGCCGACACCCGACCTGCCAAAGACTAGTTGGATACAAAATGTTAATGGAAAGTTACAATATATTTTGTAATATAGCAATATATTTCATATTTAAAATAAACGGATATGCTTTCTCCTATCATTAAAAAATAGCAAGCAGTACAGAGAGGCAAGATGCAAATTCATAGTGAAGCTCATCTGATTCTGAATATAAACACTTCAGTTTCTGAGTTTGCCATGAAAACGTTTCCTCCACGAACATCCTGTCATTCTCTTCCGTCGTTCGCTTCTGGTCGGTGCGGAATGAGAGTCTGGGACCAACGCTGAGTTGCTGTGCCATTAAACACTGTGTCCGATGAAGGTGAATCGGTCTTGGTTGAGATTCAAGAACTGAAATAATACGACACGGTTAGAGAACGTCACTTATTCCCTGTCCTCCTGTGAATCTGGCTGTGGGCTGTTCCAATCAGATTCATATTTGATTTGTCATCGATTTTTTCTTTTTGGCTATAAATTCAGCATCTCTTTGGGATCCTCACTTCAGGTTGATATTAAATTTTGTGCTTTTCCTCCATCAGCCTGGCTGGTCACAACGTCTCTTTTGTTTGTTTCAACACATGGTCCGGGTCCGAGGTGACCGCTTCCAGAATGCGATTCTCAGGTGTGTCAATGAGTGTCACAGGGCACTTGGCACCTAGATTGGAGGTCATACGTTGAAGATTGGATCATGGTTTTGTTCAGAGGGAACTCCAGTTTGTGTTTGGGGCGCTTCCAGTAATGGTGTAAGAAAAAAAAGATCACAGTTAATTTCCCTCTAGCCTAGATCAGAATATACCATTGCACGGAATACTGTTTTAACAAGCTTCCGTCTATGCCAGGACATATCTACATATCCCTTGTCTGACAGGAGTTTAATGTTCATTTCTATTCGTGCAACCTGCCACAAGCCTGCAGGACGAAGAGCGCTCACCTACGTTCTGTGCCAGAGGCCGACAGTGACTATTGCTATCCTGGAACACTCCTTTCTTAGTGGGGTCAACAGCCGCGTTCCCCATGGTTACTTTGGTGGCAGTAGAGAAGGAAGGGAAACTGTCCCGAGCGCCATCAAGCTGTCTGACTGCAGGGGGAGGGAAGGGGCTGTTCCGCGCCTACCGGGAAGCCACCAGGTAGCTGTCTAAGGTGCTGAAACCGGACGCCGCGGAGTCCATAGGGGACAGCAAAACGACCACTCACGGATCCTTCATCTGCTTCCCAGCAACTTCCAGGGAAGTAGAATGACTGGGTGGAACTGGGGACACAGTTTAGGATTGAAAGGCAGTAACTTAAGAAGAGGAGTAACCCTACTGGTAGTGCAAGGCTGTCATCGTGGCCCAGGTGCGGTGCGGTGACGGGAGGGCCACACTGATTCGGAATCGGGGTGCCCTGCTTGTCGGGGTGCACTGCTTGTCGGGGTGCACTTCTTGTCGAGGTGCACTCTGAAGAGCAGAGAGGTCCCGGAGCTGTGTGCTCCTCCTATCTTTCTCCCTGCCTAGTTGATAGATAAATAATGACTTTTTGGTAACTCCTGATTGCCTTCAGCTGTCACATCAAAGTGTGGGCTAGATAGATTTGGTCTGGCTTGCTGTTGATGACAATAGTGATTCCATTTTTTTTAAATAGATTGAATACCTTGTACTTAATAACATTAACTAGTGTCTTCATTTTAAGTACAGATAAACTGAGGTATGATGTGGTTCTATGAATTGGCCAAAGATGGGGATCCAGTGTTAGAATTTTATTCTGATTCTGAATCTCTAGTTTTCTTCTTTTCCACGATCACTCGCTTACAAGGACATTACTGAAATCTAAGGGGGACATCCTCAAATATATGAAAGTCATTATTTTTTCCACCCGGTGCCTTCTTATCCTTAAACAATAGCTTGCGGTTGCTCGGCACTTTGGAAATTACTTGCACATACTTTCCCTCCACCTCCTGAGTCATGAGATTGCTGTTACACCACTGGTCCTTGCTGAGGTCGCTAGTGAGTGGTGACTCAGGGCCTTACGCCTCTTGCTCATTTGGGTCATGTTAAGCATTTCTGGAGATATGAACTCATCAAGTTACATATTATGAGGGTTGCAAGAGCGGTTCATAGATACCTTATGGCAATTTAGTCATGATGATCCTACGTATGTGGCCTTTGGGCCAAAGGTGATTTTCATTTGGACTTCAATCTAAGGAGGAGTGAGCCCCTAGTCTGGTATGATTTACCAACTGATGCTATATCCTGAAGTTCCACTGAGATTAGTGGTCTTAAAGTATCACAGTACAACCCTGACTTTACAGTACATGAGGCTATAATATGGCTTAAGCGATGGGGGGAGGGGGAAAAGTGGCCCTGTGTTGTTGTTTTTTCAAGTGTCTAGATATTTTAGGGAACATTAGGGTACTTTGACCTGTTACTAAGTTATCACAAAGGTTATAGTAGGGACTCTGCACTGGGTCAGCCTTCCAGGAGTGGACAGAACTCAACCAGCATTGGAGGTGATTGTAACGCAGTTTTTACATAGAGTCAATTCTTGAGCAGATCATTAAACCTCCTCCACCATCAAACTTGAAAATAAGGAACAAGAGGGCATGGTATGAGAGTCCGCCTGCCCTCTTTCGCCCTTGGCCTGTGATGCTTGAAGCACAGTGGGATTAGCCAAAAGACTGGCTGTGGGAGGAACCCCCGGGTAACATACCCTGGATCATCCATACCTAAGTCATCGGGGGTTGATTGTCCTTGCAGGAGAATGGGTAACTTTCCACATCCAGCTGAATTACTAGCACAGAGAAGCAGCCTTCCATTTACCAGTGCAGGATCAACATGCAAATTTGGTAACTTTTTTTTTTTTGCGGGGGGGGGGGAAGATTAAGTATTCTTTTGCCAACAATAAAATCCATCCATAGCTATTGCACTACCAATAGGTCAAGGCATGCTCCCAATGCCAATGTGTTTCTAGGATGCCAGTGGCTACTGCTACTGGAAATAACTCCAACCACACCCTTTACTAGTGTTGCTAGCGTGGTCTTCCGCGCTCAACTAAGTGCACAACATTCATGATGGATTACAGACGATTTATCCACAGACTGGGTGGGTCAGCAATGGTCTGTGCACACTTTGGGGCAGGGGGAATGGCAGTGGAATCTTGCACGTCATTTATTTGAAATGAAGGATAAATTGCTATTTGTGTGCACGTGCACACACACACAGACACACACATACCACAGCACTGAGCAGAGTGGAAAGGGTGAATAGGAGTGAATAGTTGAGGGCTGTAGGTTAAATGATCAGAGTTGGCACCCTCAGCTTGACCTGGCAGTGGTCCTTACTCCATGAAATGGAACTGATGCTTTAAAGAGACTGCATGGTCATTTCACCTGTTTACACATGGGTTTGTCTGTTCAGCTGAACCGTCACTGAAAGCAGGAGCACCATTCTTAGGACATGAAAATGGAGAGAGATCCTTCTGAGAGTCAATAGTTAAAGGGACAAGTAAAAACATAAAAAGCCAACAGCAAGGGCGGCATCTGTGTTGTGCAAAGCAACCAACGAAAATGTTCAAAGGGATTATCGAATAAACATGAGACCATGAAAGGAACAGCAACACCAATTAAATAGGTAAAAAAAAAAAAAGTTTAGCAAGAGTGGCCTTAGTTTGCCCTGGCCAGGTGGCTCAGTTAATTGGAGCGTCATCCTGTACAACAAAAAGGTTTCGGGCTCAATCCCTGGTCCGGGCTCATATGGGAGGCAATTGATCAATCTCTCTCTCTCTCTCTCTCTCTCTAAAAACCAATTAAAACATATCCTCAGGTGAGGATTAAAAAAAGAAGAGCGGCCTTAGTTCTAGAGTCATCTACCTTTTACTGGTTCCCTTGTCTCAGGAGACCAGGCCAGTCCTGCAGAAGGAAAGCCGGCCCAGCCAGACACGGCCTCCAGAATGGCGACGGCGTCCTGCACAAAGCGAAGCCCAGCAGGGCAACCAGGACACCCCTTTGTTTCACCCTAAACAGGCAAAATGCTCCATGCAGCATCCTGTAGCTCCCCACGGGCAGACGTCAAAGGCCTCAGAGTGAGAAAGTGATGAGTAACACGACGCTTCCACATGACAACTGTTACGTGTGGTTGGATCACGGAGCCCTGGAAATATTTTGCTTCCCACAGGCCCCCTCCTCACAACGCCTGTCCCTACACTGGATGGCAATGTTTCTAAAGTCTCTTGGAATTGGCGAGATATTAGAATAGTTTCTGCACCAAGTTTAACATGGCACAGTAGGAACAGGCTACGGACATATCCATGTCATCTCACCTGACCCACAAGGTTCCCTAAGGGCTCCCTTTAATCTCATAATATTTCATGTGGAGGTGATTTCAGATCAGGTAGAAGGGACCCCATGGGGCACTTGACCCCTTTGTACTCCTAACATCTGGACCTGGAGACCCCGTTGCTGGATACATCTCGCTGAGCGAATCCCCAGACAACACGTCTATTTACTCAGGTGTCATTGGGTCGCCCCTGCCTGTGCCTGTGTAGACCCCGTCCCCCACGTGCACACCCCTGGTCACGTGCTCCATAGGAACATGACTTGTTCGGATATAAGAAGAAAACTCTGCAAAGCTGTTATTTTTGGAAGGCTGCTTATCCCTCCAGAATGCCAACAGTTTTAGCTTGGCATCCTCTCAAACCCAGCAACCTGGTGCACATCCAGGATGAAGCAACCTGTATTGTGTCTGAAGGGACCTGCATCTTCTGTGAAGCTCAGCATGTGGCCAACACCAGCAAGCTACCTGAACGGAAAGCACCCACACTGGGGTCCAGACCAACTCAACACACATTTAGAGAGAGCGCCTACTGTGTGCAGGGGAAGGTGCCAGGCCCCTTTTCATTTGGGTCAAGTTCAAAGACAAGACTTGGATGGGATGTGGGATGGGTGTGTGTGTGTGTGTGTGTGTGTGCACGCTCTTGCAAACACACAGGTTTATACGGGTATTGATATTGGATGGATGGGAAATCTGGCTTTTTATTTTTCTGGGTGTGTGTGTTTTTTTTCCCATCTCAATTGGGCTTAATGATTATATAAGGTTTGGGAGGAAAGAATGACTGTTTTTGGCAAGTTGTGGGCAGCTGTCTTTTCCTTTTGCCATCCAGCGGCTCCCTCAGACAAAAGGAAAAGAGAGAGGTGTGCTCGAGGACCCCAGTGGTGAGGAGCCCACTCCCCAAGCCTCACACGCCCCCTCCCCCAGCGGGACCCTCTCTGGGCGGTTCACTGTTGGCCGCGTCAGCGCATGTGGCTCCCACTCCCGCTGTGAACACCTGAGATTGAGCGTGGATTTCTGTTCTCCACCAGCTCTGCAGCAAGGGCCCTGCCAGAGGTGTCGCTTCCTGTCATCTCAGCTTCCTGCTTCCAAGGAGAGGCACCTAAACAGAGATTAGATTTCTGGTTTCAAGGCATATCGAACCAAGCACGCTGAATGAACATGAGTTAGTTAAGTAGCTCGGACTCTCTTCTTTACATTCCCTGGTCTCAGCGTTCCTTGACGGCAAAGGGACCAGGAGAGAGCTGATTTGCATCTTAAGACCTATGGGTAATGCTTCTGGAGTGGGGAGGTTTATTTAGCAACTGCTTGAACTTGTGTACGGGGTCGGGAAGGAGGTGGAGCTGACCCCGATCGGGCTGTCGGAGAGTGGGGTGTGGGTGGTGCCCACTGCCACGCTGACACCCCGGGCCTCGATGATGGCCGAGAGCAGCTGCTGCTGCTGCTGGCGCAGCGTGTCTGCGATGAGCACGGGCAGGGCATTGAAGCTGGCGGTGAGGTGCTCCAGCTTGGACTCCAGGCTCCCAATCTGCTTCTCCAGGTCCTCACTCCGATCGTTGAGCTCTGTGATTAAGTCATACATGACGTTCTGCATCTGGAGGAGGGGCAGAGGGACGAGAGACAGGGGACCACAGGTCATCACAGAGCAATCTGCAGTGGCCAACGTGGAAACTCCTCCAGATTCCAACAGGAGTAACTTCCACTCCAGCCACGCCCGACATGGCCAAGGTGGCCACAGCTTACTTTCCGGGAGACACGGAGGCTCAAGGGGAACGCTGGGTTCCTCTCCCCCCATTACAAAAGTAACACATGTCCTATATAATAAAAGTTCCTCTCCCCCCATTACAAAAGTAACACATGTCCTATATAATAAAACCGTAACAACAGACCGACAAGAATGACTGCTCGACCAGTCACTATGAGGCACACTGACCATCTCTTGGTCCCTTTCCCTGGCTGGCAGGCTCCCATCACCCAATGGCGAATGGAGAACTGGGGGTGAGTGGCAGGGGATGCGGGCCATGCCAGGCCAAGGCCCCCGCCCCATTGGTTGCCCCCCCACACAGAGGGCAACCTGCAGCAGGGGCGGGGACAGTGAGTGGGCGGGAACAGCCCTCCCCCCCCTCCGGCCAGCAGACTCCGATCTATTGTCTGATGGCAAACAGGGAACCGGGGATGGGGGGTGGCGGGGGGTGGGGCTGGCTGCCGGCAGCTGCAAATCGACCGTAACAACAGACCGACAAGAATGACTGCTCGACCAGTCACTATGAGGCACACTGACCACCTCTTGGTCCCTTTCCCTGGCTGGCAGGCTCCCATCACCCAATGGCGAATGGAGAACTGGGGGTGAGTGGCAGGGGATGTGGGCTGTGCCAGGCCAAGGCCCCTGCCCCATTGGTTGCCCCCCCACACAGAGGGCAACCTGCAGCAGGGGCGGGGACAGTGAGTGGGCGGGAACAGCCCTCCCCCCCCTCCGGCCAGCAGACTCCGATCTATTGTCTGATGGCAAACAGGGAACCGGGGATGGGGGGTGGCGGAGCAGGCAGGAACGGCCGACCTCTCGGTCCCCCCCCGCCCCGGCCGTCAGGCTCTGATTGCCCAGTGGCAAACTGGGAACCCAGGTGGGTGGTGGCAGGGGGTGGATCTGGCTGCCAGCAGCCAGGGAAGATGGCCCTGGTTGCAGGCCAGGCCTAGGGACCGTATCCGCACATGAATTTCGTGCGCCGGGCCTCTAGTTCATTATAAAAAGATATTAGAGAATATGTATAATGGGAAAGAAGCAGCCCTTTTTTCTTAAATGGAGAGTTCTCATGTTATTACACCCAACCTTTTAGTTCACATGGCGCTGGCCCCTGGTGATTAAAGCGACGCCGCTGGTGGGGAGCGGACAATGCGAGACTTGGGAGCGAGGTTCCTGGGCGTCTCCACACTCCCAGGTGCCCCTGAGGCAGCAAGGCCGAGGGCCAGCTTGCCGGTCCCTCTGTGTCCTCCCGCCAGGTACGGTGGCTCTCGGGCTCCTGGTCATCTGCCAGTGACACCCTGATCCTATTTCATCAGAAACTTCAAACTACTCTGGAAGATGCAGAAACACTGGTGCTCTCAGGGGCCCAGGGAGTAGGAAATAAGGTGGGAGAGAGGAAAAAGGAGTAAAGGAAGGTGGCCAATATGAGAAACCAGAGAGAAGATGGGGGAAAGGGAGACTAAAAACACAGCACCTTCCCAGCTGATGACATGCCCACAGGAACCGACTGGCGCCCAGAGGGGGGCTGGAGGCCGGGCTGCCCTCGCGTAGGACACTGTCCCCGGCGCCCTCGGAAGAGTGGGAGGCTTTGGAGTGACAGTGCTTCCTCCATTCATTAGCAGTGAAGGACCTCCTCACCTTCCCAGAAGGTACAAAACCCAAACACATCTGACCACAGGGCACCCCGGTGAGCTGGGGAATAAAAACACAGCACCTTCCCAGCTGATGACATGCCCACAGGAACCGACTGGCGCCCAGAGGGGGGCTGGAGGCCGGGCTGCCCTCGCGTAGGACACTGTCCCCGGCGCCCTCGGAAGAGTGGGAGGCTTTGGAGTGACAGTGCTTCCTCCATTCATTAGCAGTGAAGGACCTCCTCACCTTCCCAGAAGGTACAAAACCCAAACACATCTGACCACAGGGCACCCCGGTGAGCTGGGCTGAGTCCGGCCCTGGGTCTCGGCCCCAGCGCTGCCCGTCGCCTGCTCCTGACCTCGGACAGTCCATCACTTTGTTCCTTTGGACCTTGGGTTCCTCATCCATGTTCATAATCAGAACGACCGTTCGCAAACCCTTTGTAATTTACAAGGCATTTTCACAGACATCGTCTCATTGGATCACTTACGCCTCTGAGGCTAGGAATTGTTTTTACATTTCAGTTGAGGGAATGGAAGTTAGCAAAGAGCCCCAGGCCTCCCAGCCCTGCCACCGGGCATCCAACACCACAGCCACCTGACGCTTCCTCAGCTGAGGGTGGTGGTGGGGAGGGGACCAAAGAGCAGGGCTGGGAGGTGGGAGCTGGGAGAAGCACAGACAGGAAAGGGGGAGAACACGGCACTGTCGTCTCCCCTGCGCGTTGCCCGGTGACCGGAGGCCAGGGAATGTGGACAAATGGGAAACATGCTGAGCTGCTGCCGGGACCTCAGGGAGACTCCCGGGGAGAAGACACAGCCTGGATGGCGCCAGCATTCTCCTCTCCAGGCCTCACGGGGCGCCTGCCCTGCAGCCGTCTCCCCTAACCCTCTCCTCTGCACCCCTTCCTCCCAGGTAACTCGCTCCCAGATTATTGACGTTACTTCCCCACCCCATTCCCATGAGCCTCTTCCCAGTTCACGGAGGTTTTGCTGCACCCAGTCTGTTCTGCGCTCGCCCCACCTCTGTGAGAGGCTGTGGGTGGCGCTGAGGAAAAGCACTCCTTCCAGGTGAGAGGCAGGCAGGAAGCATTGCTGCTTCCAGAAGAAATATCCTGGGGCGCGATGCTGGGCCATTCCTGCATCTCACGGGGTGGGCCCCAGGCCCTGTGAGCCCTACAAGACCCTCCTCCTGGCCACAGCGGATTGGTCCAAGGGTGGACACATGACCCAAACCAGCCATTCATCCCATCTCGGTGAGAGTTCAGCATGAGGATCCACAGGCAGCCGATGGCCTTTGCCGGTGGCTAGAACCAGAAGACTGACTCTCTGGACAGGGGCCTGCCACGGTCGGCTGCGGAGACCGGAGGCAGAGAAAGCTTTCGGGGGTGAGGGGCGGGGGAGAAAAAGAGAGAGAACTGAAGCGGGCACTTGGACAGGAGAGGGCAGAAAGGGTAGGAGGGCTTTCCAGGGCGGGCTCCCGTTAGCTCCTTCCTCCAGTCTGCCCACATGCCTGCTTTGAGGGTCTGCCTGGCATGAGCCTTCCTTGTATCTTTATAATAAATGCCTCCATTTAAAAACGGAGTCTTGGTGGGTTCCTGGTAAGGGACACACCCAAGGCCCCAGGGAGCTCCCTCCATCCCTCCACATGCCCCCTCCTCCAGGCTCTCAGGAGCCCTGCACGCCCCTTCTGCACCCTCCAGAGGCACACAGGCCTGTGGCTTCTCCCCGTACAAGCCACGCATTCCCTGGTCGGAGCCCCCCACCCCCCTGAGCTTGGGAGGCCCTTTGTCTGGCTGGATCCCTTCTCTGAACAAGGCGCCCGCACGTGGTGCAACAACCTGCCATTTCCCTGATTGCACCCTTTTCAAAGGGTGTTTAATTTGCCTGAGGGAGTTTCTCTTGCTCACCCGGGAACATGTGCCATTATGGTAATTGACATCTGCTGGAATATCCTGCTAGTCTGGCCCTGGGCTGCACACTTGATATATAATTTCTGTCAGGAGTCAGTGAGAAGGCCTGCAAGGGGGAGGGGGGTGGAGGGGGGTGCGGAGGGGAGGAGGCCCTCTGTTCAATGGCGCCTATACTCAGCTGCACCAGTGATTTGCAAGAGGAGCGCGTTTCTTTACAGTATTTACAGCAGTTCAGGGCCAGAAACGCAGAAGGACAGTGTGGTGTCCCGCCCTGGGGTTCTCAAGGGAGGATCTCGTTTTTAGCATCTTAACATTCATCACAGGCTATTTGCCTCTTGAGAAGGAAAGAAATGCACCCCACCCCCAACTCGGGGCGAGAAAAGCTGGTCTATAAGGACCGAAGGATGCAAGAAAACGAATGTCCGATGATACCAGCAAACCTGAAGGATTCTCCCCGGTGTGACCTCGGCAGCACCTTGGCCATCAGTGTGCCCCGCCCTGTGCAGACTCCGAGCTCATCTTAGGAGCCCTCAGGGTACAGCTAATACAGCAACACACTACAGAGATGGAGAGGGCAGCTAATGAGTTCCAAGCAAAGACAAACCTGAGAGATTGAACATGAGAAACAAACGCCAGGTTTTAAAAGGCGACAAGACACACGGGTAGCCTGCACCTGGGAAGGACTTGGACCGAGACCGTTTTCTAACGGAGGAGGCATTGCCCCTTGCCTTCCTTGCTCTGCACTGTGCAGTGTGAACGTCAGCCACACCCGAGACGTCTAAAGGCCAGAGCCTGAGAACTCCTTAGGACGGCTTCAGATGTGGCCACTCACCTTGGAGAGGTCCACCAGGGTGTTGGCTTGGTCGCTCAGCTTCCTCTGCTCCATCTTGACACTCCTCAGTCTGCGGAAAAGAGTTGGGACGGCCGAGGTCTTCGAGTGCATGCGAAGGTTTAGCCCCACCAGCAGATTCCGCATTCCCATCAGCGCGGGAACCTCAAACATGGGTGACAACTGACCAGAATCAAGGGCTTGTCAGCTCCCCAGAAAGCAAATCCTCGTCTCCATGCATGCTTGCCTTCAGTCACTTTGGGTTCTCACTGCTCCGGGATCATTTTCTGGCGTCTACGCCTTTGTCTACCCAGCAGTGGGGAACATTTTTTTTCTGCCAAGGGCCATTTGGATATTTATAACATTGTTCACAGGCCATACAAAATTACCAAGTTAAAAATTAGCCTGCTCTATTTGGCCAAACATTTAATTAACTCACCCCTAATGCCTTGGCAGGGTCAGACCAAATGATTTCGCTGGCCTTATGCGGCCCGAGGGCCGGACGTTCCCCACCCCTGGTCTAGGCTATGCCTTCCACCTTGAACACCCTATTCTCGGCCTTTCAGGGTTTCCCCGGAACTTCTAGGTCAGAATAAAGGCTTTCACCCTCTATTTTCTCACTATGCTTTAAAAAACATGTCTCTTATAGGAAGCACTGACCACAATTTGTTCTGCTTGAGTTGTAATGTGGATGGGGTGTGTGTGTGTGAACTGTGAGAACCCTTAGAGCCTCTTCCTCTAATTTTCACCTTCCATGGCAGCCTGCCCCATGCCTGGCAGTGGCAGGTGCACCAAATGAATAAACAGAATGGCCTGGGTCCCCTTTATCACCCCCGGGGCTCACCGAGTGGGACAGAATGGATCTCTCCTATCCTCTGAGCGTGCAAGGAGGGACGGGCCGAGCTGTGGGGTCCCACCCCTCCTAACTTGGCCGTCCGCTGGCCCAGCTTCCCGCCTACTCACTGGTGGATAGCTTGGAGGAACTTCCTCTGGTGCTTCCTGACTTTGGCATGGTCAATCTTCTTCAGCAGCTTCGTGTGTTTGTAGATGAGCCACGTCTCCCGGAGGACGTTGGCGGCAGCATTCTTGATCTACGGAAGAGTAAGGAAAGCAGGTTGCTGTCTGGTTCGGTTTCCTAATTTCACATCAGCCGTTTTCCTGTGTGCTGAGATAGTCTATCTCCTAAGGAAACGGCTCTGCAGTGATCTAATTCCTTAATCAAATCATGGCCTCTGAGGGTGGGTGATGAACACGCATCTCCTGCTGATCCTGTGCTGGGTGCGGTACCCTGGAGCCTGAAGTTGGGGGGTGTTTCTTGCTTTTCCTTAATTATTTTGGGACTGCCTCCGACTGTTGTTGCTGGTGCTATATTTAGACAAGCTGTCTTAACAAGACCTGGGGGCCCGGGGCACCTTTTGAACAGATAACTATATACCGTTGCTGCCCTCGCACGCGGAGTTCCGGTGCAGAGACTCCCATGGTGCGTGGCTTGCATTCGGAGAGTCAACAGTTCCTATCAGCTGGAGGTTTTTAAGGGCCTTTGAGGAAAAGTCTTTCCCACCAAATGGAGCCATAGGTGTCCGCAAATCCATTGTTTCCAAACACATTTACCCCGCAATCTCACATGTAACTGTAAGTGGCATGAAGCTGAACTAATTGAAAGCTGTATCTGAAAACTGGTGAAGACATTTAGGCGTGAAAACAGAGCTGCCCCTTCCCCTACCCTGGCTGCGATCACACGTTTCAACATACGACGCTGTCACCGACTGACATGGAAAGCACGGATGTCACCCGGCCCGAGACTGAGCGGAGACATATGAACGGCATGCAGATGGCTGGGGACAGAGCTGTAGTCCAAACACAGACACCCTCAGCAATTAGCAACAAGAGCAAGCGGAAACGTCTCTTATTAAGCACACGCGCAACAGCTTTTTGGTTAACCATTCCCATGTCTGACAGCCACGCACGCTGGCACAGGCCCCCAGGCCCGGGGCCTGGAATGAGTAGGTCAGCCCAGGAGAAATCAGGTCACCAGCCAGAAAAGATTTTAATAAAACCGGCGAGTCCAGGCTCGCTGCTGCAGACTGACATCAACAGATGGGACGTTGTTAAAATCCTGGGACATGTGGGAAGGCCGGGGGAACATTGTTTTGCAGGCTGAAAACTTTTGTATGTGTTTTCAAAATTTATGACTCAGGCTGGATTACATTTTTCATTGGCGCAGAAGTGATGTTCTTAAAAGAACAGCTAAGTCTTCTCAGAAATGTCTAAGTGACATAAATAGTGCTTTTTTCCCGTTCAGTAAAAATCCACTATGACAACAGTTTTAATGACTTAATTGCCCAACTTGGGTAATTTCTTGCTTGGAAGGAAGCAGGTCGTAGTGAGTATGAGCTGGAAAGCGAGTGTTCAGGCGAGGGGGGTCTCTGGGGTTCTGTCCAGGCCGCACAGAAGGGAACCCCTTCTCTCTGCATAGAGCAGTCTTCTGTAGGGCCATTTGACATGTGATCTCCTCAGTTTCCCTGGGTGCTTAGCCTCCAAGGAGAGCCTCCCAGGAAAATAGCAGGAAACCCTGCCCTGGCCTTTAGGAGACCAGCAGAGCCCTAGCTCCAAGGCTCCTCGTCCCATGGAGTTAAGGCATAAAGGTGCCGATGGCCCTGACCGGTTTGGCTCAGCGGATAGAGCGTCGGCCTGTGGACTCAAGGGTCCCAGGTTCGATTCTGGTCAAGGGCATGTACCTTGGTTGCGGGCACATCCCCAGTGGGGAGTGTGCAGGGGGCAGCTGATCGATGTTTCTCTCTCATCGATGTTTCTAACTCTCTATCCCTCTCCCTTCCTCTCTGTAAAAAATCAATAAAATATATTAAAAAAATAAATAAATAAAGGTGCCGATGGGCCTCTGACAGTCGTCTCTGTGTCCACTGGAACGAACATTTGCATTTGAAAAGCCTGCAGGTGGATTCTGGTTCCAGCAGTTAGGAAGCAGTTGAGGAGTAAATGCTTAATTATCTATAAGATGGGGAAAAAGAAGGCCTTTCTTTAAGGTTGATAGGAGGCCCAGAGGAGGCAACAATGGTGGAGCTGATTGTCTGAGGCTATACGTCAGCAGGCACAGGTCTGAGTACTTCATGTGCGTGGACTCAGTTAATCTTCACAACCACCCCATCAGGCAGGAACTAATACTATCCCCATTTTACAGACGAGGAAACCGAGACACAGACCGAGACCAGGAAGTTCTAAGTGGCAAATTGAGTCCAAATGGATTCGTGTTACATACACAAACTGATATTGGTTATTATCATCTAGCCCAAACCCCTATTTAAAAGGAAACTGCTTCAGCCCAGCGGGTGTGGCTCAGCGGGTGAGTGTTGACTCAGGAACCAAGAGGTCACCAGATCGATTCCTGGTCAGGGCACATGCCCGGGTTAAGGGTTTGAGCCCCAGTACGGGGTGTGCAGGAGGCAGTCGATCAATGATTCTCTCTCAACGTTAATATTTTTATCCCCCTCTCCCTTCCTCTCTCTAAAAAAAATCAATAAAAACATATTAAAAAAAAATAAAAGGAAACAGCTTCAGAGATAGGCTTTGAGGGCCAGAATCACACAGCTAGCTAATGGCAAAGTCAAAACAAGAGCCAGGTCCAAGAGGAGCAGAAGGTTTGCATGTGGTCTGAAGAAAGACCTGCCTAGATTTTATCTCTACACAAACAAAATTATTTCCTGTTTTCCAGGACCAAGGAATCGGAAAGGACATTAGAAGATTTTTTAATCATCTTGGCCTCCACTTAGCAATATGACAGAACAGGGAGTCCATGTCCTACACTTAGCTTCAGCCCAAATGCGAGGAGCTGAAATCACAGCGCAGCCCGGGCGGCGGAGAGAAGCAGTTGCATCGTCTTTATGGGTCTGCACAGGAGGCCCCTGTGTATTCGGGGAACTGATGCGAAAGGCCAGCTTCGGTGCTGGCTCCGAAATTAATTGCCAGCAAACAGCCTGGCACAATGCTAAGGAGATCAATATCTGCAAGAGGAAAAGAAATAGGCTTTTAACTGCTCTGCGCTTTCCCAGGTTGACAGTAACGGCTACTGTGACCAGGGTCTCCCTTCAGTTCACCTGGCAGATGAGTATCGTTAGGATGGGGAGCAGCTGAGGTCGTGTGCCTTTCTTGAGGTTCGCTGAGCCCCTGATGGGGCTTGGGTGCCCTCTGAGCTCTCTGAGCTCTCCTGGTAGATGGGGGCACCAGGGCCAGAGGTGCTCCTGGGGGAGGGATGGGTCAGGGCACTGGGAGACCCTGAGCAAGGTCGGCCACGACCAGATGGGGTCAGGAATGGTTAGAAGAGGGCCTTTGTGCGGGGAAGGCTGGCTGCGCTGCTCCCCGAATCCATAAGCCTACGAGCTGATCGTTTTCTCTGCATATGTTCTCCACCAAAAAAAAAAAATGTATGCTTTCATTCTGATGAATGCCAGATGGGTTCAGTGACCTACATACTTTAGAAAGAGCTTTAAGGCTAATGGGGTTGAGCAAGGAAGTCATCCAAAGAAGATCTTGCAAGTAATAGTGACAGCTAACATTTACTGAGCACTTACTGTATGCCGGGCTCTGTGCTTTCGAAACACTTGGTGTTTGCAGTGTTTTATTAGCTCTCAGAAAAACCTCACAAGTGGATGCAATTATTATCTCCTCCTTGGACCTGGTACTAAATCTCTCCGAGACTCAATTTTCTCATTCATTCCTTCAAAAAACCTTCGCCAAGACACTGTCCTAGGAAGTGAGAAGACCAAGATGCACAGCCCGATAACATTCAAGCCCCCGTGGGGTTTGTAATCTTGTGGAGACAGCATGCAGTTTGTAATATATCATCAGAGAAAAAGACAGCAGCGAGCTATCTCGAGAGGATGCAAGTGCGACCGATCTGAAAAATGGGGTTGGAGTGTTGATTCAATGAGAATGCACTCCCAACGCGTAGCAGGGAGCCTGGCCACAGTGCTCTTCAATGTAGCTTCGTGAATACCCCCTCCCCCCAGGTGAAGGTCAGCTTCTTTCTCCTCACTGCCTCCTAACAAGAGAGAACATTAAACAGAACACAGAATTGTGTCCCTTGAGCTCTTGGCCATATCATCCAGGTCCGTGGCTGGCTTGGGCCGCCTCCCTGCCAGGTTAACCGGCCACTCGGTAGTTATTACAGAGGGACTGCAGGCTGCAGAAGGAACACGAGACAGGGACAAGAGAGGCACCTTGTTGGACTCCCCGTGTCTCCAGAAGGCACAGGCAGACCTGGGCGCTCCCCTGGGGGACATCTTTAGCATGGGGGGGGGGGAGGCTGGAGAAGAGGAAGGGCGGTGGGAAGCTCAGGCTGCCAGGTGAGTGTGCCTTAACTTTAACAAGTACTCAAGTCGCATTTAGATGAACCGAGGGCTGATGAACATCACAATCTGAGAACCTAGAGCCAGCTCCATTGGACACATGGCTGGGGAGCAAGGCCCGCCCCTCTTCCCCCTCTGCCAGCCCCTCCCCTTCCCCCTCAGCCACCCTGACTTCCTGCAGCTGCCTTCTCTTTCACCTCCTTACTCTTCCCTCTCTCCTTCCTTCCCCCTCCCTTCTCAGGCCTCCCTGTCCATCTCACCTGGAGGCGGCAGGGACTGGGGCTCCACCCCCGTGGCTGGCGGGAGATGGGGGCAGGAGCGGGAAGAGATGTATTTCTGGGGTTCAAAGTTGGAGTCTGAAGCTCCTCCCCACAGCAGCACGGTAATGAACGGTGGCGATTTCTATAATGCTGTTCACGTGACGCTCAGTGAGTTTGGAGGTGACCCGGCTTTGCTCTCCAGCAGCCCCGGAACCCTAACCACCACGCTGAGGTCCAGGGAACTGACTGCTCTGGGAAACCCACTGGGTGGCGGCTGGAGAGCTGCCCGCAGGCCTGAGGACAGACGGCAGCCCCGCTAGGACCCGGCTAGCTGTGATGGCCGGGCCACCCTGGCCCTCACTGGGCCAGAGAGCCACATTCCCAAGGGTGCTCCCAGCTCAAATGCTGTTTCTATGTCTACTGTCCCACCCTTGTCTGGGGCAGAACCCTTGTGGGTAATAGAACTTACAGTCCCCTTCTGGGGAGAATTAGCATTCCCGACAACTGCTCCATCGATTCTCTGATACATTTTTAAGAGATTAAGACCTGTGATGGGAATCCATTCTTGGGACCCACCAGTTGTCAGCCACCAATCTAGTGTCCCTTAACCAGACTTTCTGTACCTGGTACAACATTGACGACTTGACTTTTCCTATAAAAGACCTGACCATGAGTAAATCTTTGAATCAGTCTGCTGAGAAAAAAAAAATCTGCTTTTCCCAGCAGGACTGTGATAACACTTTGACATAGGCTCAGAATTAGAAGTTTTCTTTCGCACTGTTCAGTAGGTACACAGGGATTACTGAAGGTTTCTGAGCAGGTGCTAATGGGTTCAGAGCTACGTCTTAGAGGCTAAGGAGACCCACGGGGAGGCAAAGCAGAGGATGACTGGGTTAGAGCGGTGATGGTGCAAGACAGAGGCGATGGTGGCTTTAGGCATGGCAGGCAGAGGGCCATGGAGAGGGCGGCGGGCACGAACAGCCGTGGCCATGGCAAGGTCAGCTCAGGCTCAGACACTGCTCGCAGCCCTGTGGGTCCAGATGGTACTAGTTTTTTCAGGCGTGACGTCATTAGCTGACCAGGGAAGTCAGGAGAAGGAACTAATTCAGTTTTTCAGGCGTGGGGAACAGTGACGGCATTAGCTGACCAGGGAAGTCAGGAGAAGGAACTAATTAGGGAAGATTTGGGTATGGCTTCATGGGGGAAAGGTACTTGGATGAAGGATTTGGAGCGAGAACCCCTTGTGGCAAGGATAAAAAAGACACAATCCTCACACGCCGGAGACATGAAGAGTAGGTGCGGCAAACAGAACGGCTCCTGTCCATGGTGCCTCTTAAGCCAAGGGTGTCCCTGGGCAGCGTGTCTTGCCTTTAGAAAGGCGAGGTGCTCTGTGAGGGCAGGCAGTCAGGATGAGGGCAGGGACCAGTCCCCCCAGAACACAAAGTGTGGTGTCCAGCAGGTGACCCCGTGATGGATGTGTTTAGTTACGCCGGTGGCACACGCCGGAGACATGAAGAGTAGGTGTGGCAAACAGAACGGCTCCTGTCCATGGTGCCTCTTAAGCCAAGGGTGTCCCTGGGCAGCGTGTCTTGCCTTTAGAAAGGAGAGGTGCTCTGTGAGGGCAGGCAGTCAGGATGAGGGCAGGGACCAGTCCCCCCAGAACACAAAGTGTGGTGTCCAGCAGGTGACCCCGTGATGGATGTGTTTAGTTACATAACACAGAGAGGTGGGGACCTGGGGCATCGAGTGGGAGAAAAGATGGGGAGCTGGCGTCCTTTTTGCAGTCTCTCTGTGTGTCATTGACATACATGTTATCGAAAGGCCTAGCGGCGAGCAATACATTATCATTACAGAACAACAATGGCAGTAACCTGCAAAGTCAGTGTGAGAAGACCCGAGGGCATAAACACAGACAGGATGTTGCATCAGGGTGACAAGTTATACAAGCGGGAGAAGAAGAGCCGTGGGATGCGGGAGAACCAGAAACCGAGTTCTTACTCCCCACCAATAAACACATAAAAATCGTGTGACTCAACTGGCAAAGACAGGGTGATCAAACACTGGAACGAGTATTTTTGTGATTAATAGGTTACAGTTCTCTTTTTGTTTTTTGCTTCGGTGTTTGAGGAATGAAGGTTGCATGCACTTGTAAGAGATAAGAGGTTGCTTTTAACTGCGAAATTGAATTGTCCCCTCCTGGGAGTCACAGCTGGTTCCTCCCACAACTGGATGTTTCTCTGAGATCGTATGAATAGACTGAGCCTAGCATCGCTGTGACCCATGAGCCACTCCGGCTGGACACGCTGGGCCTTTTGGAGGGGACAGAGGACAGACGGGGCGACCCCGGGGAGAGGAAGGGGGGCTTCCCTGAGCAGGCCAAGCTTGCGGCCAGTCTCCGCACTCAAGGTTGTCCCAGAACCTTTGGGAGTCCCAGTCCCTCCAGCTTTGGAAATACCTCCCTGTCAGAACCATGGCGTTTGTGTTGTTTGGCTCTCTGGGAAAAGATACTTGGCATCAAAGGGACATCTCAACAGATGGAGAATTTTGAGAGAAGTGAGACGTTGTGCGATTACAACGGTGCCTTGCACTCACCAACGAGCAATAAACATTTGCTGATTTGATTCTCAGGCCTACTTTTCAAGGAGAAAGTGGACTGACTTGAGGAGGGTGGCAGGGAATTGTTTCTGAAAGATTGACGTTAGCCACCACAATCTCATCTCCTTGGCAATTGTGCTGCAGGAACATTGTTTACTTTCCTTTTGGAGGGGACAGAGGACAGACGGGGCGACCCCGGGGAGAGGAAGGGGGGCTTCCCTGAGCAGGCCAAGCTTGCGGCCAGTCTCCGCACTCAAGGTTGTCCCAGAACCTTTGGGTGTCCCAGTCCCTCCAGCTTTGGAAATAGCTCCCTGTCAGAACCATGGCTTTTGTGTTGTTTGGCTCTCTGGGAAAAGATACTCGACATCAAAGGGACATCTCCACAGATGGAGAGTTTTGAGAGAAGTGAGACGTTGTGCGATTACAGCGGTGCCTTGCACTCACCAACGAGCAATAAACATTTGCTGATTTGATTCTCAGGCCTACTTTTCAAGGAGAAAGTGGACTGACTTGAGGAGGGTGGCAGGGAATTGTTTCTGAAAGATTGACGTTAGCCACCACAATCTCATCTCCTTGGCAATTGTGCTGCAGGAACATTGTTTACTTTCCTGTCAGGGGAGGGAGCTGGCTTTCCCCAGCTTTATTTTCCTCCGGAGTCTGATAGACGGAGTGAAAAATGGAGGACGAAGGAATGACATGAAACACAGAGCATCCCCTTGGTTTCAGAAAGCAAACCAGAGCAGAGAGACTGTCCATGTCCCAGCTTCTGAGGAGGTTTTAGAGGCCAAACTCGTTGGCAGGGACTCCTGCACGGAATTGTTTCAGGGAAATAGATGCAAGTGCATTTGCACAGCGGTGCTCCGAGCTCCTTTGTGACTTGCTCGGTGCCAGGCATAGCTTCTGCTTGCGTTACAGTCACGGGGCTGCACGAGAGGAGCCGGGTCCCAGGGTTGTGGGTGAAACCCGAATGGCCCACCCCTGGGTACAGTCCTGCCATCTTGATGTTATTTATGAATTACGTTTTCTTTTGTACAATGGACAGCTCAGGCCCACCATGTACCATATGCAGTAAATCCTCACTGAACACTGTCAGCAGGTTCTTAGAAATGTGACAAAATGATGTGTAACAAAATCACTGTGCTTGGCCGGCGTGGCTCAGTGGTTGAGCATTGAACTATGAACCAGGAGGTCACGGTGTGATTCCCGGTCAGGGCACATGCCTGGGCTGTGCAGGCTCAATCTCCAGTAGGGGGCGTGCAGGAGGCAGCCTATCAATGATTCTCTCTCATCATTGACGTTTCTCTCTCTCTCCCTTCTTCTCTGAAATCAACAAAATATATTAAAAAAACAACACCACAATCAATGTTACCTTAGCACCAACAAGAATTAAGTCCCTATGACATTACACCAACATTATAACAAAACATCATTATCCAAGGCCCTGCCGCACAACCATCTGTATGTCACCAACCTCAGAATATTTGCCTGTACCCGTTCCTTTTAACAACTGTGGAGGCTCTTAGAGAACCCGATACATGTAATCAAAGACCAAACAATCATGCACCATAAATAATTCTGCTGAGAAACCGGAGAGGCCTTGGCAACAGCGCACCCTCCCCTGCCTTCCCCCGGAGCTTGCTCATCCTCGGCCATCCTCCTCTCTCTCTGTTCTCCCCTCCCGCCTTGGTCTCTATTTCTAACACATCTTTACTGGGCTGCAACACTGGTCACTGACATTTTTCTCTAGCTTTCAAAAACCCAAATCAGCCTGGCTGGCGCGGCTCAGGGGTTGAGGGTCAACCTGTGAACCAGGAGGTCATGCAGTTCAATTCCCGGTCAGGGCCCACGCCCGGGTTGCAGGCCTCATCCCCAGTGTGAGGCCTGCAGGAGGCAGCCGATCAATGATTCTCTCTCATCATTGATGTTTCTATCTCCCTCTTCCTTCCTTTCTGAAATTAATAAAATTATTATTTTTTAAAAAAAATCAAAATTCGGTTGGGCCTTCTAACCCACTTCGGTCCTAAATGAGAAGCCCTTGCTATGGCGGCCAAGGCCCCACACAGGGTTTGGATTCTCGCTCATCTCAGAAAGAGGAGATTGTGCAGGGACTCCTTCGTTCCGCCTGCAGCTCTACAGAATGTTCCATCGGCGCTGTCGTGACACGCACGGCTCCCGCCTGCCTGCTTCTGTCTCTTCCGAGGGGCCTTTTCATCCCTGACAATGCAGTGGGGTGTCAGACCCAGCGCGCTCCCCCTTCCTGCACATTTCCACTGTTCATCCTTCCGAACCATTCGCACAGGGTACAAGTGAGAGGCGTCAGCCAGTTACAACCCAAAAGGGGAGAGCCGGATACTGACATTGTCTGGGAACGGGAGCTCTACAGCGACGATCCTCTTTAATGACATTTTTGAAAGCATTGGATTTAGATCCAGTTCCCATTGCGTGTTTAAAACTCTCGACTGCCCTTCCTAATGAGGCTCATGAAAATATTTGAGCATAAACACAACCGCTGCCTCACGCTGGGTGATTTATTCAATTACCACGAGGCAAGGGAGCGGGCTGCACCCCCGTGTGCTTTGGATTTAACTATCGGGAAAGCGCGTGCGCAGCCATTTAACAGAAGACGGGACCTGGAGTGCTGAGCACTCGCCCCTTTTGTGGAGGCTGTTCACAGGGGCCTGGGGCTCCCTCTAGCCTCCCCTGCAAGGAGTCACCCCCGTCTACACCACGTGACTGCTGCCCTTCCGATGGGCTTCCACACGGGTCTGAAGCCCCCCTGAAGGCGCGAGCAGCGGCGTCTTACCCGCTTGGTGAGCTGAGTGTCCATCATGAAGTTGTGCACGTGCTTCTCCGCTTTGGTGAGCTCCAGCTTTCGGGCCACCACGGCCACCACCAGGGCGGTGCAGCCCGCACCCTGTGGGGGGACAGCAAGAGGACCGGGGAGAGAGCGACATCATTACGAGGCAAGGGTCAGGCGGGAGGCTCAGGGTGCCCCCGGGGGCCACCATGGGGTTCTGGGAGTGGAGCGGGGCCCTGAGCTCTCTGGCCGGTCAAAGCCACCTAACCTGCCCGGGCCCTGCTTCCTGCCCCACGAGAAGGTCTGCATCGCCCTTGGCTTAGCTGCAGAGCCTGAGTCTTCATGAAACTTGCCAGCTCCCCATGAAGCAGGACTCCCAAGGGGGCTGAAGCTCTGGGGGACTGAACATGCAGCCATCCGGCCACCTGCCAGGCTGTGTGGGGGACACGGCGGGGCTGGCACGTGCAGGCCCCCCGCTCCCTCATGCGTGTCAATCCCACTGCCGCTTCCAGACCAGGGGTCCCGGAGGAGAGGCCACACACACGCTGGAGGGGGCATGGCTGCTGCTGGCAGAGTTTTCCTGTAAATAATCTAATAAAGAGGGAACACAGTCCCCCCAGATTGCCTCCCGGGGGAACACTGGTTGGCCTGAGCCTGTTCTCTCCACGCTGCTTGCTCCTCCGTTGGGGCTTTTTACCCGAAGGTCTAGGCTCTGACTCAGCACAAGGAAGTGATTCTTTCTCAGAGATTTTTAAAGATGATGACAATCTTGCCTCCGACCAGGATTCTAAGGGAACGCGCAGGGGCCTCAGTATTTCGCAGAGCAGCTTTCCTATTCTGCCCAAGTAGGTCCATTGCAGGGGGGATAGGGGAGGGTGAGCAAAAGAAGCAGGTTCCCCCAGACTCATGCTCTCTCCTACTCCCCTGGGCGCATGCTTGACTGTCTGAGCTCACCCCTTCCCTGTAGCCGTCACCCTCTTCCTGCACACCGGCCCGGCCCCGCCTGACCTCCACGCACGGAAGGAGATGACACGCACAGCAAAGCCCACAGTCTAATCCTCGGCTGCAACAATAGAGTTGCCACAGAGCCCAGCTTAGCAGTTGAGGTTCAAGGACTGAAGGACTCAATCAGTGACAGTTCTGGCTCATCAGGCCTCACAGAATGTGTGAGAAATGGTGAGGAATGTTCTCAAAGGTACACTATCTGGACCCGAGTCGGGAGGAGCGGGTGCGGGTAGAGCAGTGCCGCCCGTCTCCTTTGCAATCTCTCTTCCCTTCTCGACAGGTTGGCGAAGGCTGGTGTAAGGTTCTGGCAGGGCTGAAGTTGGCAAAGCTCCCCCTTAGCTTTTCACAAGGTTCCCACGAAAACAATCTCAGGGCTCTCGGTACATTTGGTCATTTGGTCAGCCACCCCTCGGCCACCCATTTATAGCACAACAAACGGAGCCTTTCTTTTCTGACCTCAATTTCCTCTCTTGTTCAGGGACGGCCGTGTTGCCTTGGCATCTGTAACTTAGAAGAGACTCGGTGCCCAGTTTTCAAAGGGTATGTATGGGCAGTTGGGCAGCCTGGTCTGTGGCTGTAATCAAGTTAGCCAGGCCCACACACACACACACACACACACACACACACACACACACACACTAGCTTAAGAGAAGCTGTCCTAGAGGACATAGGTGTGCTCCGTTCCGCTCAACCAGATCAAGTATAATCACTCTCCTTTACATGGAGTTCCAAAGGTACTTTGGGCTGAAGGCCCAAAAAAGGGGGATCTATCATGGTGGTAAAAATGGAACATCAGATGGAGAGGCTCTCCCAGGCTCCATCCACTCTCCTCTCCCTGGGTCCAGGCAAAACTCGATTTAAATCAGCCCCGAGAGCAGAGGGCAGAGCAAGCCTGAAGGAGTTGCCCTGCTCACCGTGCCACTTCGGGAATTTCATCCAATCTCTCCCGAATGTCCAGGGTCAGGACGGAGTGCTCCGTGGTCCTGCCACAGCCCGCAGTGCGGCAGCTTGAGTGCAGGGGCTTCTAATGAGAAGCTAGAGCAGTGATGGCGAACCTTTTGAGCTCGGCGTGTCAGCATTCTGAAAAACCCTAACTTAACTCTGGTGCCGTGTCACATATAGAAATTTTTTGATCTTTGCAACCATAGTAAAACAAAGACTTATATTTTTGATATTTATTTTATATGTTTAAATGCCATTTAACAAAGAAAAATCAACCCAAAAAAATGAGTTCTCGTGTCACCTCTAACACGCGTGTCATAGGTTCGCCATCACTGAGCTAGAGTGTTTCCACCAAGGAAACATCCATCGTGTATGACTAAGATGCATTCCTGCATGGAGGCAGGAGGGTGGACTAGATGATGTTTCCCCATTTCTTTCTGTTTAAAAATGTCAAGACTCCCTTATAGATATCTCTCTGGAGGGTGCTGGGCTCTTAACCCCTAATTCTAACTTGAATAGACAGCAGTGGGCTACTCCCAGCTTTATTTTTCTTTTAGAAAATCCATCATCTGGATGTAATTAAGGAAGTAGCCAATAAGGAAGCCTAACTTGGTCCTTTCCATTAAGAAGCAGCCTTGTTAAGGCGGGGCCAGACATCTGCAGCCTTCAGAAGGTGGTGGGCAGTGTGCTGAAATCCACATTGGAGAGAGAAAGAGAGAGAGAGAGAGAGAGAGAGAAGAAGAAGAAGAAGAAGAAGAAGAAGAAGAAGAAGAAGAAGAAGAAGAAGAGAAGAGAAGGGGAAGGGGAAGGGGAAAGGGAAGTGAAGGAAAGAGGGGATGCGGCGAGAGAGAGCTGGAGTAGAGACTGTGATGGGGAAGAAGCTGTGCTCCATCCTGAGCAGCATGGGACAGAACAGGGAAAGAGGAAAGGACGAAGCAGAGGCGTCAGAAAAAAGGATGGGCCGGTGGGACTGAGAAAGGGAGGCCGGAAGAACAAGGAGCCTAAGGATTCAGTCAAAGTTAATGGTCAACTCTGGCTCTTCAGAGGACATAAAGCAAGTGTTGGGGGACCCCCTCCCTGCTGTTGTGCTCACCTCTAAGTGGTATAATGATCACTTTGGGGGCTCATGAGCCTTTTTACTCACAGCTTATCAGTCTGATGTTCCCACAGTGGCAGCCTGGGAATCCTTGTGGGGTGCGGCAGCGATGTGGGTTGGTATTAAGAGAGAAATTGCCAAGGACTTGGGCTGATTTGGGGGTGTGACAGTGCACGCTGTCCTAGCGTGGAATCTCAGAAATGGCTGGCGGACAGAGCGGGGCGTGCGAGGAGAGGATGGACGGGGGCAGACAGAAAAGGGCCAGCAGCTGCTGGTCTGACTTCCATGGGGTCAGACTGTGGAGATAATCCATGACTCAGACTGTTGCCTTCAGATGTGCCAAGCCCTGAATCACAGATGACACCAGCTGGATTCCCTGGGCCTTCTCGAACTCCTATTTCCACGGGAGGGTGGGAGGAGGAGGTAGGGTCCACCTCTAATGAGATCACACTGTCCGGGGTACATGATGAGCAGGAGCACAGGAGTGAGTGAGGAGAGAGAGAGAGAGAGAGAGAGAGAGAGAGAGAGAGAGAGAGAGGCTGGCAGGGGATGAACAGGCCTAACTCATCTATGGATTTGGACCCAAATCCGAGACCCAGGCTCCTCTACACGGCTCCTCCCACTTCTTGTTTCCAAGACACATTTTCCAGCTGGAAAACCTTAGACTCTGGAAAGGCGAGTCTCCCCAGGGGGAAAGTATGAGGTGTTCTTCACTTAAGGAGCAGAAAAGAAAAGAAAACATAAATGAAAGTGACAAATGGAGGAGGGAAGCCTGGAGGATGTGCGGTTGGATTCTATTTCTGCCACAGATTCCATGTAACAACTAAAATAACATCAATTGGTTTGAAACCAAGGTGTTTTAGGGGAGAGGCTCGTTCTTCTAAAACTGACATTAAGCAGATGTCTCGCTGAGCCCTCTCTTCCCTCCTCCCCAAATGACTCAGTTTGTTCTACCTTGTGCTTCATCACCGCTTTCCTTTGCAGTTCAAAGGAGCATCCCTCACGCCGCCTCGGGGAAGCTCAGGGTCCCCGGGGGACATCCTGGAAGCTTTGGTCTCTTTGTCCAGAACGTAGGAAAGGCCCGCAGAGCGAGCCCGGTTTTAGAAAATGGCTCCACGGACACAGGGCTCCTGCCGAGCAGTCTTGGGGGCCCCAAAGGTTCCCCAGGTGCCTGCAGGCCTCTCGGTAAGGGGAGCTGTGATTCCCAAGCCCAGAGACGAAGCAGGGAGAGCTCTCTGTCTGCCTGGTAATGGTCATTGTAAAATCCTCTGCGGACCCTGGTAAACCTGCTTTTGCAGTTGAAGTCTTTCAAGCACCCCAGGTCTGTGCCAACAATGTTAAGTTGCTCAGACAATTATATACCCTGCTTAATGGTTGATAATTATCCCGTTACTGGGATTGCCAAGAGAAAACAATGATTAAGACTATTTGCAGCCCGCACACACAAATCTTTCCTTCCCCTTCCCAAGCAGGCCTTGTCTTGGCCTGCATGGTGTCCATGGCAACCAAACAGGAAGCCGTACCTTTCATGAAGGCACTTGCAATAATAATTCCGAGATGCACACAGTGCTGGGAGGCGGGGGGGCAGGAGGGGGGGCGCGAGAGGACTTTCAGCAACCAGAAGCCCTGGAAAGGAGTGACTCAGCTAGAAAGGTCACATTGGTTAGAAAATGACCCTGGGGCTCCACACGGTGGCTGACCCCAGAGTGAGGCCACGGACTGTAATTTGGGTGAAAACCCTGAGATGAATGGAGGAAGCCCCCCCCCCCCCC